TCTATAGTTTCATAAGTGTGACAGAGTATCAAATGGAGACAGACGCTTCTAGTGCATCCATTGGGGGAGTACTATAGATCAAGAACACCAACGGCAACTTCCTACCTGCAGCTTAAAAGTTGTGCAAACTGACAGACAGTGAATGTCACTCCCCCATCCACAACAAGGAACTACTGGCAATTGTACACTGTCTTGTCAAGTGGTGTTGCTACCTGGAATGCCAGGAGGAGTTCACTGCCCTAATGGACCATAAGTACTTTATATACTTTAAAACACAAGCCAATCTGTCTGGACACCAGGTGTGCTGGATGGAGCTTCTTGAAAGGTTTAACATGATTATTCAATACAAACCAGGACCCAAACTTGCCATAGAAAATGCACTTTCTTGCTTATATGTTAGAGCCACAAGAGGAAAAAATGGATTCAATCCAGATTGGTCCCTCCTGGTACTTTGAACTAAAGACAAAGGCTTCCCTCCAGGCACTACCAATATTACTAAAGAAATGGTCATCAAAAATGATCATCTCTTCATGGACATATATGGGATGCTACACTGCAAGATGACTGATGGGAGCACCATCCTGTATATTCCTACACACTAACAAGGCAACATCATTCTACATTATCACAGAGACTTAGGACATACCAGGAGCCGCAACCTTTATGAATTTCTCAAATAAAAGGCATGGTGGCCGGCCCTATACCAGGACGTCCAAGAAGTTTTTGACCAATGTGAAGTGTGTGAAAAGTTTGCAGAGAGCAACACCCTGCCTAAGTCTGTGTTACCTATTTGTTCACAGCTGCCCTTCAAGGTATGGGCCCTTGACATTGTGGGGCCCATGCCCAGAAAGCATAACAACAAGAAATACATCATCACTGCCATTGACTTTGCCACTTGCTGGCCAATAGTGCAGGCAGTGAAGACCCACACAGACAACAACCCTTGACAATTCATAGGCAAATAAATCATCAGCAAGTTTGGAAATCCAGAACTCCTGATAACAGATGGGGGCAAGGAATTGACCTCCAAGAAGAACAATGTATACTTCACCAATAATAGGGTCCAGCACACAGTGACAACACTTTACCATCCTCAGGCTAATGAACAAGTGGAGCGGCTAAATGGTAGCTTAGTGCAGGCCCTTGCCAAGCTCACTGCCAGGAGCCCTGAGGACTGGCATAAGCAGTTATCAACTGCACTTCTCATATGCTGTACTTGCATGAACAGATCTACTGGGAAAAGCCCCTTTGAGCTTGTCTACAGCACACAACCCAAAACTATTCAAGCCCTCATGAGATCCAAGCTGGAAATGCCTATCAAGATTCCCCCTTGTTCAGCACCACAAATCATATAAGCCAAGAGCAATCAATTGGAAAAAGAAGAGAAATGTATGCAAGACATGTTCATCCCCATCCAAAACAGACACAAAGTTGGTGGCAAGGTCTGGGTAATGAATACTGACAAGAGCAAGTTACAGCCTAAGAAATTGGGTCCTGCAATCATCTTACAGGTAAATAAAAACAACACTTACCTTTTGCAAGGACTTAGAAAATGTAAGCAAGATAAAGTCCTCCATCATGACTAATTAAGACCCTGTAAAGTGAGACAAAAACAATGAGAAACTGTCCTATCAGCCACCAAACAACAGTTAGTACAATACAACTCCCAGGCCCCTAACAAACTCCCTGACAAACTGCCCCCAGAGGAGGCCAACCTTCAGCCGGGAGTATCAAAACAGCAGGCTTGACCTGCCAGCAAGGTTCCAAATAAGCAGGTTTGTGACCCGCAACCTGACTGCCCAGTGACTTGAAGCCAAACTAGGAAGTCAACTTGAATTTCCAAATCCAACAACATGAACAAAAGCTGATCCCTTACTGTGGATACCTCATTTTGACGCTTGACTTATTATCAGGATCAGGCCACCCCCTTCACCATCCAACCAATTGATCAACACAATTATGTTCCTGTTATCCACAATTCACACTAACTATATAATACTTATCTCTCAATAAAGAACATTATCTAGTTTTCAAATATTTTCCCCTTGTAACTCTGCTAAAACAGCACAGCTACAACAGAGAAGATCAAAGACATTACCAAGGTCAAATATAAGCTTTCAGAGCTTGTGGAATACATCAAGAAGCTTGCCACAGTTCTTAATAGCAACCAGGTGATCAAAGTCTAGCTTTTAATTATATTTATTGTGTATTGTCTAATTTTGTATATAGTTTTTATTTGTTCAGCATAATATTTTTATATAAATAGTTAGTCTAAATGACTATTTAACAATGTATGCTACTTTTTTATAAAATCATTGATTTTTCATTGATAGATTGATGCCTTATGCTGTATTATATGGCCTATATTAGTATTTTACTAGTAATTTATATGTTTTTTTGTAGTTTTCAATATAGAAAAAAATTATATTACTGTTTCTGATTATTAAATTTTCTGATAATATGTGCATTTTTTATGTAGTACCTTTTTGTATATTGGGGTTTGTCAAGATTTCTGGTCTTGAGGAAAAGATCTTTATTATTGGTCATTGTAATAGGAATGTTGATAGGAGATTGTATGGCAACAATCTTTAGCTACTAATTGGGTCTAGGATACAGCTACGGCCCGGCAGTGTCCTGTTGGTCTGTAGGAGAAAAATACACTGGGCCTGTGAGTAGACAGTGGCACACTCTACTTGGATACTTCTGACTACTAGGTGGCAGCTAGTAGTGATACACTGATAGAGATCTTCAATCTCTATTTTCAAGGGTGAATATTATGCTTGATCTCTAATCAGGAGAGCACCTTATATAGGGTGGATAAGCCCTCTTGCCAGATTATAATCTGACGCTTTCATCTCTTACTAGTCAGTCTATCTGTTCCCCAGACTGCTAGTTTCAGCCCCCAGAGTTAGGAAGCCATGCCAGTCTGGTATGGGACTTCAGTTTATTACAGGACCTAGGCCTATCATAACAGGGTCTTGGCAGCATCATGTCTACCATTCATGCATATACAAGGTTTAGTTACCCTGTCAATGGGTTTTGCATTCTGTATTATTCTTCTAAACAACCTTCCATGTTGGTTATATATTCTTATTTGAGTCCAGGCGCAAATGTTTGGCAGAGGCGTGTCCTGCAACCATATTCAAGAACCATCAAGCTTATTGGTGTAAGTGCAAACCAATAGGAAGTCCAGCAATTATCAAAATCAAGTGTTAGGTAACTATCAATATTCTGATTACTGAAGCTATTGATGGGATCAACTAGTGCTTCTTTAAGTTTGACAGTTCTGTGACAATTGGCTGTCTGGGTCCAATCAGTCAAGGGAATGATGGCCAAGTCTATCATATCATTCTGAAGTCCTGACAGGGTTTTTTATTTTTACAAGTGGGAAAAATATTTTATAGTAAAGATAGCTAATTTCATAGTAAAATAAAATAAAATTGTATTTTTTATTTTTTAATTGCCATGTATTATTTTTTATGGACTTTTTAAAATCTATGTAGCCACATTACCCTAAAAAGTATTTTGAAGCTTAATTTTTATTAATTAAAATGTTCAGGAAACAGGTTTCTGCTTATTAAAAAAGTATCAACATTTAGTAGTTTGCAAGAGTAAAAACTTAATTCTGACTTTTCAATGCTGTCAACATTAGAGTATTTTTAATTATGACTGTTGACATATAGTAAGAAAACTTGTGGAATGAGTCAATTCTGGTGGTTGTGTTGCAATCAAGTTTCCAGACTCGCCTGCTAATGTATCTTACAATACACAGGGGGCGCTTGATGAGTTGCCCCTTAACATATCTAACAACATGGACTAATATGATGGCAATATTGAATGGTAGGTACTTCATCCTAATTAGGAGTGTTACCAATTTGACTTGCTGATCCCTGTATGAGTTATTCCTCGGCTTCAAATCTTACATAGAACTTCCCACTATGTCACCCCCTTGTGGCTTTCCCCATATGGTATATTAATCACAATATTTTACAATAAACTATACCTTATTATTATTATTCTGTCCTTTCCATTGGACTGTTGTCTTCCCCAATTCAAAATACTGAATCCTCATTGGTTCAGTTGCAACAGTTGCCAAAATCATGTAGGATTTCAATTAAATTTTTAAATCAGTTTAAAGCAGGATAGCTTTGATCAAGAATAGCATCTTGTTTATTAATAGGTCTTTATAAACTTAGAGTTTAGACTTTAAGTCATCAGGAACTATTATTTAAATCTATTATATTTGATAGATTTAAGTTATATCTATATCTATTTTTTCTTTTTTACAATTTATCAAAATAGTAAAATTTAAGTGATTTTTGAATAAAAATATAGGCAAAACATGGATGTATAGATATATTACTGTTACGACTATTCTTAAAATAGGATATAACTTTTATGGATTTTTAGTAGTTATTTGTATTTCTTTTTCTACCCATTTCAATATATTTCAGCTCTTTCAACTAATTAACTATTTTTTATATAAAAAAATGTGAAAAACATGCTTTTAAAAAAGAATGGAATTTTTTTGCTAAATATGATACTGAAAATCATAGATTATGCTGGGAAAAGTGACAAATTATTCACCCTATCAATAAGATTATAGCGGGATCATATCCCACCCTTGGTTTCCAGCTGAACTGTTATGAATTAATGAATTAAGAAGACAATCAATAGTTTGTTTCTTTTATAGAAATTCGAATAATTAGTTTTTTATAGTCAGTAAGAGATATCAAAACTTAAAATACTTTAGATTTTAAAAAACCATTACCTAGCTTCTACATAATAAATACAATAAATTAAAATCAATCTTTTTAATTTTTCAGAATAAACATATTATAAAACGCATAAAAGTATAATATCATAAATTTAACACAAGGCAGCAGATTTCTTTAATGATATAAGTAGTTTTATCAACCATATATTCATTTATATTAGTCACAAAAGCTAGGTCTCAGAACTTTTTAAAAACACACTGAAAAGAAACTCTAAAACTAAAATGTCTTCCACCAGTTCCGACCTGGTGACCTTCTGTGTGGTAAACAGATGTGATAATCAACTACACCAGGGAAACTTTGGCTTCATTATCGCATGGTATTATTTTATAATCTATATTTTTGGTGAATAATAATGTTAGTTTTAAGAATGTACATATTGTTAGGTATTTAAAATGCCAAAGAATTTTTTTCAAGCCAAAATAATTAATGTGAACTCAGAAATGCTAGAATAAGCCTGAATTTATAAAAATTGGTAATCATGTCAAAAATTTCAATCTGGTTTTCTAAAATATACAAAGATACTTAGATCAATGATTGATAGATAATTTAAAAATTGTCAAAAATGTTATAAGATTTAATATCAAAACAAAATAAAAATAATTATATAATGTGTATTAATCAAGAATTTGTGGTGCTCCTGCTCCCGAGAAGACACCATAGTGTGTCCTTGGTCAAAGCCAGGGACCAACTGGGTAGGGATGATATCATTCAAGTAGCTGAAAACCAATACCAGAGCATTTTTTTACCTATAGTACTTCAAAATCTTCTAGTACTTTCCCAAATAGCATCTTGATATTAGTACTGTTCATCATGATGTCTGTCTGTGACTGTCCCTCTTTGGACAAACACAAGGAGGAATACACCATCTAGAAAGACACCATCTAGAAGATTTACCACACAAATTATATTAATTATTAGATTCCAGATGCCATATTTCTAGATGATGTCTTTTTAATAGCCTATTTTATGCATTTAATATTTAGGTTTATAATAAAAAATTTATACAGATAACATTATTTTATTTTGATTTGTGATATAGTTTTTGTGATGTGATCTTTTGAGATACTATATTAGAAACCACAATGTAAAAATTTACTATTTAATAACTTTTATTAAGATTTTTTATAGTTTTGCTATAGAAAATCCAGACTCTATTATAAAAACCCTTTGAGATGGCATATTGCACCAATTTCTGTTGTCAATCCAAGACAGGGAAAAATATAACCTATACCCTACAACATAGTGTGAAGATACTATTCTTTATTGCCATCAAACCCTGGTTTAAATTTGCAGCTGTAGCCTGATAAAAATGATGAAACACAAGGTAAAGTAGTCACACATGGATCAGAATCTCCAGTATCTCCTACAAACTTGTGTATTATACAAAAATAACACATCTATTATACACCTCCTAAGTCTGTGTTCTAAGTAGAGGCCATATAACCCTTTAGAAATAGGCTCTTGATGTTTTAGACCCTACTGTAAACAAAACAATGTACTGTTGTATAAGCAATCACCAAATATACTGTTATCACAGTGGCTTGCTTTATTAGAAAATAAATCATAGCCCACTTTATTTGTCCCAAACAACTCATCACTAATAGTTGTAAAGAACTTGCAGGGAGAAATTGAAATTCTATTGCATTAATAATGCCCTCAAGAAAGTATTAACCACTCCCTAACACCCTCAATCCAATGTGTAGGTGAAAAAGCTTATTATTTTTATATGAAAGCTTCTATAAAAGAATTCCCAGTAATATTTCCCAAAACAGCATTGAAAAATGTTTATCTATCACCCTACTCATCCTGCCAAGCCAGAATTAACTGTGGTACTGAGTTAAGCCCCATCAACTTAGAGATTGGTACACCACATGTTATATCAGGAATCCCTTAAAAAATTTAGCTTTGAAGGCCCCCAACAACCTCCTCTTATAATCACACACTTCCTTGCAGAATGATATTCCAAGGCCATGGAAAAAAGCAAGCTTGGGTCTAAGGGAACCAAACATTTAGAGGCTTGGTACTCTATATGAAGCCCAATGTATTCCATCAATTATAAAAAAGCAAATCTTGAACCTCATATCATCAAGACCTTAAATTTTTCAGCAGTTATGAACAACAATACATACCACAGAGAATATCAAGGACAATATCAAACAGCTACAACACAACAAATTATGCCCCTGCTAGCCATTATCACCAAGAAACAGTTCTTTTTCACCTTCTCAGGTGCTCAGAAGAGTCTCATAGTCATTGAGGATAGCAGGGCAGGGGGCAAGAGGGAGTTTTAAAACCAAAATAAGCATACTATCCTCCTCTTATCTCACATTAAACAGGGGGTGTTTGACCAGCCACCCCATGACAGGTCTAATGTCATAGCTCTCCTCAATTTATTTTGCTGAAAAAGAAGATCTTTAACCTGCAAGCTGTGCTAAAGATTTAACTCAAGTGTTGTCCTGGAAAAATTTACTGGTTTTTATATCACACAGTAGCTGCCAAAAATAAGTGACTCACTATTTTTATAGATGTTTTTTATGCTTGGCGCTGCAACAGGAGTTATTGTTGACACTTGGCAGTGCCTCAAAGCTTCTCAACCTGCAGCAGTGTCAACTAGAATAAAAAAATATGAAAACAGACTTAAATTAGTCTGGTTTGACTAAAAGGTAAGACATTTTAACAACCATTTTAAGCTTATTGTTTATGAATGGAGCTTAAAAACATCATCTCATATGATTGATTAACTGTAATATATTTTTCTATCTTAGAGATAAGAGAATAATAAGATAAGTTCAATTTAAAAAAATATTAACTTTTCACTTCAAAAACTATCTATTCATTTCAAAACCAAGGTAAGCTTCAAAGTAAGTACAATAATAACTGTTTACAAATAAAAACACCAAAAAGGTAAATAAATTTGAAGTTTTTTGAAGTCAATTTAATTTAAAAAAGGTAACTGAGTTTCAAAAAATTTCTCTAATTTATATTTATAAATCACTGCTGTATTTCAAGTAAAATTTTCATTAAACTTACTAACCCTCATTAATTTTAAATGACTTCATCAGAAGCAAATATTGGACTGGGTAAGTTTCTTTTGCAAATTTACTAGCCTAGAGTTAAAACATCAGCTTTTTGTCCTTTAGTAGTTCAAGGGTTGATAAGTAAGTAGTGTTTTAGTTAATTAAGCCCTTTTTACCAAAGCTGAATTTCAGGTAATTATTTTTAATAAAACCCAACCTTCTTTTCCTTTTAGATGGAGTTAGTATACAGAAAATACCGGGTTAGTAAGTTATTTTCACCAATTCAATAGCCTAATTTTCACCAAAAGTCAATTATTGGTTTATAAGTTTTTTAAATTTACTAACCTAAATTCCAATTTCCCAGGTTATTGCCCCAAAAAAGATTCTGGTTTGATAATGTCAAAACTGCAGGGTTGGCCTCCTGAAAAAGTTCCACACAAGATACCTCATACCTCTTGATTTGACTATCCTAGAACCCAAAGCCAAATGTGTAAGTCAACTCAAATTGCCAAACAAGGAAAAAAGAACCAGTAACAATCTCAACCCAGTGACAACACAATTTAGTGCTTCACTCATTAGTAGGATCAAGCCACTCCCATGCCACCCAAGTGATTGAGCAGAAAAAACTTTGTTTCTCCTAAAAAAATTCACCATAACTATAAAATAACAATATCTCAATAAAAATAATGATCTAGATTCTAAACATTTCTCTCTGTGTAACTCTGCTAATACAGCACAGTTACAACAATAAGTATATTTTCTATGTATAATAAGGTATTATACAACTAATTTTCTGCTGACTGATTTGAAGTTTTTGTTCCAAGTAGCAATTTTTATATTATATGTTAGGAATTGACTAAGTAATAAAAATCATAACATTCACATTAATTTTATTAAGCTGTTAAATTCACTTTCAATGTTTTAGTTGTTTTTTTCTTGCAATTAGCTTAGAGCCTTAAAGCTTATAATTTTTAGACTGCTTTAAAAGGCTTCACTAAAACAATTTAAATCACTAATAAACCTTTAAATGGTTATTTTTACAGCTTTTATGTTGTTAAGCTGAAAGAAAGCTTTTGGAGTTCTTTTTGATCCAACTAGCTTATTTATATATCTACATTGACCTTACATATGTAGAGAATCTAAAAACAAGGCAATGCTTTGCTGAAAAACATATTGTATTTAGAATATTTTATTTTTATTGTTTTCAATAGATATAATTGAAGATTATATTGCTGAAAATCTAGTTTAAACAGTTCCATCACCTAGAGAATCAAAGCACTAAAAATATAAAACAGCTACTTTTATGTTGGCTTAATTATGAATGGCTTTTATTTCTGATCTTTTTTATCATAAACTTAAAAGGATACAATATTCTAGGGAATTGAAACCAGAATTATAGGAGACAATCAAGTCATCTTGGGCCATGTCCACAACTAAATCAAACACTGGTAAAAAGGTTTAAACTGTTGTATCTAATATAAATAGCATAAAAAATAATGGATACATAAAAAAGATAACTATGAAAGAATGTATCAGATGACAAAGAATCTTCATTAATCTAAACCAAAGATAGCTATTTCTGCTAAAAATTTGTGTTAGAAAGGTTGTGAAGTTTTCCCTATAGACTAGGCAAACCAAACCAGAGAAATGATTAATTTTATACCAAGTGCTTGATCCTCTTTAATAAATGTGTTGATTTGTCCTTTGGAATTTGAAAATTAAGATCAAAAATAACTTTTTAAAAGGTTTTCAGTTTCAAGATTAAACAAAAGTTATTAAATCTCCCTTCCAATAAATATCAAAAATCTAATCAACAATAAAAAATCCTAACATGAGACTTTGATGATAGCTTAATAGATATATTTGCTAGCCATCACTGATACTTTTCTGGGGAGAGTTGCAAAAACACTAGAGCTTTATTTTTTTATTAAAAAACTGTTAACTTTGCCCATCATTAAATCATCTTTTATCAGGTTGAATAACAAAGAAAATTTAAAAAAAGGTAGCCAAACTAAAAAATTATTGCTGCTAGGGTATCAGAAAAAGATACCATCAAGTAGCTGTACAAAGATAAGGCTGCTTGTAGCACAGCTGCTCTCCTTTTGCAGCCCACTCACCACTCATGGCTCTATAGTCATCAACTTCTGATAATATTCCATTGAAGATTCTAAATAGTTTTCACCAAGAAACCATATGGCGCCCCATCTTTGAACAGCTTTTTACCAGCCATGGGACTAGAAACTCATACAAGCAGGCTGACATAAGAAAGTAAATATGAG